ATTGTAGCTGATGTTAGATGGATCTTGGCTGAAAGCAGGGAATATCAGAGGAATGTCTATCTGTGTTTTATTGACTATGCAAAGGCATTTGACTGCATGGATCATAACAAACTATGGCTGACTCTGAGAAGAATGGGAATCCCAGAACACTTGATCGTTCTAATTCGAAACTTATACTTGGACTAGGAGGCAGTCGTCAGAACAGAGCAAGGGAACACTGCATGGTTCAAAATTGGGAAGGGCGTATGCCAGGGGTACATCCTATCTCCATACCTTTTCAACCTATATGCAGAACAGATCATCTGCAAGGCTGGGCTCTATGAGGAGAAATGTGGGGTCAAGTTTGGTGGACGATTCATCAACACTCTGCGTTATGCGGATGACACAACCCTGCTTGCTGAAACTGAAGAGGACCTGAAGTGCCTGCAGAGTGTCAAGTACTACAGCGTTCAAGATGGATTGAAGCTCTATGTGAAGAACACAAAGATTCTCACCACTGGACCAATTGGCAGCATCAGGATGGATGGTGAAGAGATTGAGATTGTTCACAGCTTTAGTTTGCTTGGCTCCATAGTCAACAGTCTTGGCACCAGCAGCCAGGAAATTAAAAGGCGTATTGCGATGGGATAGTCTGCCATTAGGGACCTCTCCAAAGTGCTGAAGAGTAATGGTGCCTCTTTGGAGACTAAGGTGCGTCTGATACAGGCCATGGTCTTCACAATCAACTGTTACACATCACAGATTTGGACAATGAGCAAGGAGGATAGAAGGAGAATTAATGCCTTTGAGCTTTTGTGCTGGAGAAGAGAATTGAGAATATCATGGACTGCTAGGAAAACAAACAGATTTGTCCTGGAAAGGGTTAAACCGGGTGGCTCCTTGGAGACAAGGATTCTGAGGCTCCGTCTAACATACTTTGGACATGTTGTGAGGAGATACTGGTCCTTAGAGAGGGACATCATGCTTGGGAGGGTGGAGGCACAGCGCAGGAGAGGAAGGCCCTCTATGAGGTGGATTTATTCAGTGATTGGGATAATTGGGATGTGAGTGTCAGAGACAGTGCTATTGGCACAGGACAGAGCGGAGTTTAGGGCTCTTTTACATAGGGTGGCTATGAGTCGCAAGCGACTCGACGGTACATAACAACAACAACAACAACAACATGTGCAGAACGGATCATCCAGGAGGCTGTTCTCTATGAGGAGGAATGTGACATCAGGACTGGAAGAAGATTCCTCAACCTACATTATGGAAATGACACAACATTGTTTGCTGAATCTGAAGAGGACCTGAAGTGCTTGGTGTAGAAGGTCAAGGACTTTAGTCTTCAATATGGATTGAAGCTCAACATCAAGAAGTCAAAGATTCTCACCACTGGGCTGATTGGCTGCGTCATGATAGATGGTGAAAAAATTGATATTGTCAACAGCTTTAGTTTGCTTGTCCCCTCAATCAACATTCTTGGTACCAGCAACCAGGAAATGAAAAGATGAATTGCATTGGGAAAGTCGGCTGACAGGGACTACTCTAGAGTACTGAAGAGCTACAATGTCAGTCTGAAGACTAAAGTGCACCTCATCCAGGCCATAGTTTTTGCAATCACTTTCAATGTATTAGAAAACTGGACAATGACTAGGGATGAAAGGAAGAGAATTGATGCCTTTGAGTTTGGTACTGGAGAAGAGTATTGAATATACCATGGACTACTAGAAGAACAAACAAGTTCATCCTGGAGAGGGTGAAATCAGGCTGCTCCTTGAAGACAAGGATTTCTGAAGCTTTGCCTGACATACTTTGAGCATGTTACAAGGAGGTACCAGTCCTTGGAGAGGGACATCATGCTTGGAAGGATGGAGGGACAATTCAAGAGAGGAAGACCATGGATGAGATGGATTGATTATGTGGCTGGAGTAAAGGGGTAGGTATGCCAGAGACACTGAGGTTGGCACAGGATAGAGAAGGGTTCATGGCTGTTGTACATAGGGTCGCTCTGAGTAACAAGCGATTCAACAGCACGTAACAATAATATCATCTGCGAAGTGTTTGGGATATGAGTACATACGAAATACTTTGGAGAGGTTTCTTTATATGTAGAACTAAGAGCTGAAGCTTAGAACTACGGGTGTTGATTTAGAGGTTTTGGAAAACTGATAAATGGTTTTTATGTCCTTTTCTGTTGAAATTGAGTCCTAGGTGTATTGGCAAGATTTGTAATTTAGACTTTATAATCCAAGAACTCGGAAAGGTTAGTTCAATCTCATAGGCGTGTATACCAACAGAACCGCACTTGATCCTGCGCTGTCCTCACAAGCAGCTCATTGTTGCAGTCACCATGTCAGTCTATCTCTTTACTGGCTGCCTTCCTCTTTGCTGACCCTACACTTTTCCAAGCAGGATGTAGTTTTCTAAGGGCTAGTCCCTCCTGATAAAATGTTTGCAGAATCAGAGATGAAATATCACCATTCTTGTGTCACTATTCAAAAATACATTGTCAAAGAATCTCAATGTTTGTGGTAGAGCTAAAATAAAAAAGGAGTCCTGGGCAAAGCACTT